AGCATAGAAAGCGTGTGATTGCACCAGGCCAGCCTCAATTTCTTCATTTATTGCATTTGGTGCGTTTTTTCGCAAAGAATGCTTCATCACCCTGACGACGCTTGTCACGATGGTACAGACGAAAGCCTAAAACATGTTAATCGGGGTGGCAGGACGGTGAGGCGAGGACGAATTCCATCCAACCAAGTTTTTTTTTCGAAATACAATGTCATCTGACATCAAAGTCATCACCAAAGCATTCTTCGAAGCCCACTTTTTCTTCATGTCTACACGAGGTCTGTCACTTGACGCATGAATGCTCCACACAAATCCTTCGAACACCATTGGAGGGTGTGCGTCAAGGCCTGTAGTACGTCGAAATTAACAAGCACAATGGCACTGCCTTCTCACTTCGGCTTCCCGTGACGCCAACATTTACGAGTCCGTCAGAGCCAGCCTCTCATTCTCAAGCCCCCAACCGCCAAATGCGACATTGTCGATGAGCACAGTGTGAAAACGGCCCATGAACGACCTGTGAAGGAGACGAGCGCCGAAATGCATGTACCGGATCGTGTTGCTGCGCGAAGAGCCCCTTGAACCACACCGTAAGCGACCTAGGCTGACTGGACCCTCCAGACAGATCCAGATCGAGCTCGCATTCGAGTGAGACCTTCGCAAGCGGATATTTCCTGTGCTGGGCATTGCGCAATGACAGCCCGTGTCGAATGGACAGGCTGTGCGGTGACGCAAGAGGGAGATTCCATTTATGAAGTGAATAGGCCGGTCTCGATACTGCTCAAAGGCTGCCGGGCCAATATGCAAATCGGACCGAAAAAGTAAGCCCATTTGACTGTTGGGTGACCGCCGCAAATGGCCGTGATCAGACCCAGCTTTCTCCACCGCTTAGCCGGATATGCCAAGGCGGATTTATTGATTTCACTTTGTCTTCATCTGCCCGGCTCGGCCTGGCTCAGCCCGACTTAAGCACAATTTATCCAATCAGCAAAGGCAAAAAGGCAATGCTTGTTTCACGACAAGCTGGCCAATAAGGACTCAGTTTTTCGCTATGCATCCATCCAATCACGTGATCAAAACACTGGCATATCTCGCCCTTCGTCTGTTATCACATTCAGGGCCAGTGCTTTCTGTCAAAGCGCCTCTGCTTTCCGCCTCCCGTTATCACCCGTTCGCGGATTAATTACTCCTACTTTGTGATGCCTACCCATCTGAGTGACGGTGGCGAGTCTGCGTGTATTTTCCATCCACTTCTATCCACTTGTGGCGTGTGCTTCGAAGACAGCATGGGCTAGTGAGTCGTCTCGCTTCTGCGATTTCCTGCTCAATGGCATCAGTAAATCAGTTTGTGCTAGATCATGACTCTGTGGTTATCGAGGGTAACGACTTATCGGATTCACATAATCGCCACCCTAACAATCCATCGAGCACCTTTAGTATTGCTGACATATTGTCCTCTCCGTCTACTCATCTGAAGTTGGATCAGACATCTTTCGGTGGTAAGCTTCACTTCCGAACAAATTAGTGGTTCAAAATCGACTTAAATTTATTGTTTGATACGTTTTAGACACTAATTTGGTGTCGTCGTCTCCCCTTAAATCACCTTCACACTCAACCTTTTTCCCACCTGTCTTAGACTCAAGTTTATTCAAATTGGGCAGATTTCGGAAAGTCGCACAATCTCATCGGGTAACTTGGATTTTTGCAATCAGTATGGTATATTTCATCCCTGCTTTTGGGATAGCATAGTTGATCCTACTTTTCTGCCAAGTGAGCACTTCATATGTACGTATATATGCGTGTTTGTGTGCTCCTAAGCATCTCCCGCCGTATTTCCACCGTATTCTGTTCGAGTCATGTTCTGACACCATTTAAGGACCATTTAAGGGTCGTTTAAACGATGTTGGCTGGGGGTGATGCTACTTTTTTCATGCCTGATATGGTAGACACCTCCAAGACTTCGTAATGACTCTTTGCATTCATTCACTTAACCGTAGAATGGAGTTGCTCGTGCAAATTGCTCAAGACCGGTACATACAAGCTTCAGAGGGACTTAATTACGCTTCTGTCCTCGATCTCAGTGCGCAACAGCTCCAGTATTACAGGCGGTGCCACGAATCCTAATTATCATGAGAGTTTTCTTCTATTTCAATAGCTCTTTCGTGTTAAGTTGACTCCCCCTTTTGCGTTCTTGATCGGTCTCTATGCTTGCTGGTGCTTCGAAATGGCCCAATCAGATAAATGGCTGTCTTTATGCTCCCTTGGAAGGAGTCCAAATAGATGTTACGATATTAGCATACTGATGAGTCTCGTACATTTTATTATCAGTGCTCGTAGCCGAGACAACATGCAAGAAAGTAGGTGACCTTTTCTCGAATCATGTATGCTCAGGGGCTCACTCACTAGTTAGGTCTTCCCTAGGGCCGAATTTATCGGCAGCTCGCCTGAACGTTTCAAGCTGACGATCTTTGGTTTACCCGTAACTGCTTTGATTCAGTACCATTTTGAACTTTTGAGCGATCTGCAAACGCTCTTTGGAGAGAAAATGATCCATCTCAAAGAAAAATAAATACGCAGAAGAGAGAAACTGCTTCTTGTCGGCTTAAGACTGCTCCAGGAGCCAGTTGTAGAGATCCTTCTGCTTTTCCTCGTCTTGATAGAAAGACTTTAGGCATTAATTAGGTTTATTTTACTTTTAACATTTTCCTCTGGCTTACGCGAGATCGAAAATGCAGCCCTTTCTTTATCAGCAATCCGTTTTGGCCAACGAAACAATTAAATTTAGTCGTTAAGCCAAGCCTTCTTTCCAACCAATTGTGTGTAACTTAGCTCTCAAAGCCAAGGCAACCACCCTTCTGGTCGGAATTCTTGATGAGAAAAAGTTCTGCTTTTTCATTAATCCATGTTAAGGTAGGGAGACCGAATTGGCCAATGACATGGTAGGCAGGTGTGGCTGGTACATATCCTTGGGCTCAGAAACGCGTAGGCTTAACTGATCTGATAGCTTTCCAAGTGTCACACTTCTGCGCAATTGTTATGACTAATAGTCTTCAACTTACAGAAAGGGAATCACACTAACTCTCAGAAATTGGCTCCTTAGTTGGGTTTCATTGAGTGCTTCAGCGAATCCCACCTTTTGAACATGCATAAAGGGGTCTAAGCGATCAGGTCAATCGTAGTCAGGATAAACAATTTGATGAGTGCGGCCTGGTGTTAGTGTGACCGTGTTGGTTCGCTTCGCCTGCAAGCTTCTTTGGAATGATTTGATCGAAGATATGAAGACCAAGATGGTGTGGCCTTTTGTGTGGTCGCAGTCTCCTTTCGTTGTGTAGA